TGATGAAATTGAAGGAACTTTAACCTTAACCATCATTGATAATCAGTTCATGGTAGAAGCTAAAACAAATATTGCAATCAAAGCTTCAACGTATTCATCAATAGATAGTATAAAGAATTTAGTTAATTCTACAAAAGTTCCTGTCTACAAATATTCTCATTTACCAAGCATCTAAATGAGAAGCAGGAAGTGTTGATATTATAGCAGCTATAAAATGATTGGGAATACGAATGGAAATATACAATTTGTCTTTCCTTTCTGATGTTAATGCTACTACAGACTTGTTAAATTCACGTGCAATTTTTGATGTTGATAAAGATATTAACATAACTCCTTGTTATCTGAACAGAACAGGAGTTAGTCCAAAGAAAGCTGGTGTTAATAAGGTTGAAGTTTATACATTCGAACCGATAAAGTGGATACAGATTTCTTGGTTGAAGATAGTGTTCAACATTATTATACTAAGAACTTTTAAATCTTCATCATATATGAAGTAATATGCTATGCGATTCTGAAAGAATTATATAAAACAGGGGAGTAGTATATAAAGGTTATAGCTTAAAAATTTTTTGTTTGTTTTGTATGAAGCTTTTATAACTAATACGAAGCTAGCCTAACCTGTGAATCCCAGTAGCAATAAGATCTAAGTTTTTACTCAGTCATTACTGATATGAAAAGAAAAGGCAGCCATCTTCACTAGAAGCAAAATTCACAATTTCACATTAGAATATAAGAGCTAATATGTAATATACCAAACATGGCTCCATTCATCATCGATTCAAGCTCTATCTGTTACAATTACAAGCCAACATGAAAGGAAATAACTAAGAAAAACCTTCTATAACTAAGAAGAGAATCGGGTTTATAATATGATAGAGATATTACTTATTTTAACAAAGGGTCCTTGCACTGACATTGTAGCCATAGAGCTTAATAAATACAAACAAGAAAAGAACAAGCCTTTGTATTTTTAACACGGTCAAGATACCAATGTTACTCACCAATATACCTATCTCACTAGCTAGCCAACAAGCATTTAATAAAAAAATGATTGAACTATACAAAAAACTACAAAACATCTATATGATCAAAAAATACTATTTTTATATACTTATATGATCATAACCATCATGTGATACCATCGTCAAAACAAAACTTTGGAAATTGAAATAAGACTCCCCTACAAAAAATAGATCCTCTATATATACAATGAAACTAAAAGGAATCTTCTTCATCTAATAATTTCATCAGAGCTTCATAATAAGCTTCTGCTTTTATTTTACTATAATCTTTCTCTTCTCTTTTGAACCAAAAAATCTTAGATCTATTACTTTCTCCTGTTTCTTCAGAATTCATTTGAATTCATCTTCACTATCCTCCGAACTATTATAATCTATATCTTGTTCTTGTTCCTATTCTCTATAAGCAACTTCATTTAAGTATTCAAGATTATCTTTATCTTCATTCTCTTCAGTTTCAATTTCAATTAATATTTTTTCTGTATCCATTGAATTGTCATCCCATCCAATTGTTTGCATACTATCTTTATCTTTATTAGTAGCATTATTACTTACTTCTGTATCTTGATTTCTTTTAGTGATATTAATTTCTTGTTCTTCTCAATCAAAATTATTATCGATAACTTCTCTCCAACTATGTTCACTTTC